AAAAAAAAAAAAAAGAAATGCCGACCACTTTCACACGATCCTGCGAAATATCGCCCGTATAGTGTTTTGAAAAATGAGAAATATCTCACGTTTTCAATACAAATGTTCATCTCGTGTTCGAAACGTTGAAAATCTTTGCTGCTGTGAAAATCCAAAATCTCAAGTAAAACTCTCAAATTTCCCATAGATGCACGATACGTCCGAGCAAAGGAAGCAAAAGAAGATCGATTGTTTACGAACACATTTTGCGAACGCCGAACACGTTCACCGCTTCGTGAGTACTCGCCTATAGAATACGCAAAACTCCGCAGCGATCTTTCTAATCCCGGCCCCGGGCAGTTTTCCACATCACGCGCAAAATCAATTTGCAACGTTTACACAACCTAAACGGTATCGATCGGCTAAGCGGAGTCAGGCTACGGAAGGACAACGGCCCGTAGTTCGCCGTCACGACACACAGCGTGCGATCGCCAATAAAAATCCGTCTCATTTCATCGAGCAATATCGTGAAGACGAGCTTTCCTCTCTCTCTTTCTCTCTCTGTCTGAGAGTCGTAGGAAAAGGAAGAGACACACGGAGCCAGAGCTTAGATGGCCGACGCGTGTTTTTCAGGATAGAAAGATCGTTACTTCCCATCGCGCGTCCGCCCAGAGCCTGGTTTCCTTCTCCGGATATTTACTTCCGGCCTGCCTTCTGTCTCGAGAATTTCATCCCAGCGAGCGGACGACGAATTCTTCGGGCACGGGGCGGCAGCATCGCGACGCAATAAACCCTGGAAGGCATCTTGCCACGCAGACGACGATATATCGACGCACGCGCGAACCACTCCCCTTGCGCCCTCGCAATTAACGAGAATCTTATTTCTTTATTAACGCGTCGTATAGTCCGCTGTTTACTGCCGTTCCGTTCTTACAAGCAAGTCTCTCACGCATCTGTAAGAACGCCGTTCTGCCTCGTAAATTCGCCTTTTCCCAAGGACGTTCGCACTCTCCTTGGCTAACCGGCGAACGAGAGGGAATTTCGGACGCGTGATTTCTTTTTTTTTTTTTTTTTTTTTTTTTTTTTTTTATTTACGAGGATTTGGAAGAGGCAACGTGCTTTCAATAATAATTAAAAGAAGAAATCCGATTGGTTTTGCCGATACATTGGTACAGATCCTAACCACAGCAACCGAAATACCACGCCAAAAGTGTACACATTGATCGAATAATTTTCAGAGTTAATTTAAAGTAGAATCTTTTTTTTTTGTTTTTTAATTTACACAAGTAGAATGTTCTTTTCTTTTAACAAACTTTAATTTTTCAAACAAAAATCTAACCTTACGTTTTTAAGAGATTAACAGTTCTAACTGTAGCCGGTCTTTTTCGAATTGCGACAGATTGAAGAAAATTTTTTATTATAGTAATTTTTTATCGTAATATATGTGCCACTGTCGAATAGAAAAGTGTATAGCGTATAGTGTCGAATATTCCATTGTTTTGATGGATAAAGTGTATTACGTATTTTATAATATGTGACTTACTTCAGTACATCAATAAATGCCGTGTATATCCGGCGTTCGTAATGAAAGGGTTGATAAAGATCTTTAATGAATTATAACTCTATAGAGAGTTATTTAAGTGCTTATTTAAAGATGTTGAATAATTAAGAAAAATATGGGGTCCTCAAATGTCCAAATGGAACTGGCAGTTTTTGGATTTAACACGATTTGATATCAGAGAACTGATCGTTCTCTCATCCATTTAATTAAATTCTCTCCACTTTATTTTTTGCCTGCCCGTTAATTTAAATCCCGAAAGATTTATTATATTATATACATCGAGCCACAGAGATTGGAATCTGAATTTACTTTTCCCTCTTTCGTCCTTCTTCGACACGAAGAGAATGGCGTCCTGTTAATTGAGAAATTAGCGAAGCTTAATTGAGAAGCTACGCCCGGTCTGTCCTGTTAATTGCGTTAATACTATATCCTATAACGTATCCAAACAGCCCTTAATTTCTTTTATGCCCCTTAATTTCGAACCATTCCCCACCGAGAGTTTCCCTCGATCCTGCGAATCTTCTCTACCAATTTGCATATCTTTACGAAGTTTTCTGCTCTAGAAATCTGGATCGACGGTCTTTTATTTTACCAGTCTGCTGAAATTTCGACGAGTAATCGATCATCCTAACGAGCAGGGACAATTCATTCGCCGACAAACCGTTAGTCGGATCGTTTAGCAGTCGCGATAGGTAGACAAATATTACGAACTGGCAAACAGGTGTGGCCGCGCGCTGTTAAAGGACAGTTCTCGTGCGCAAATACGACGAGACAGAGAATCGTGAAATGAAATTCGAAAGCTTGGACTGCAGGATCGATAGGGTAATGTTGGTTTTTTTGACAAGTAAATATTAAGAAAACCAGTCGCAAATGATTCATGTATCATAGTTTCGTATAAATGTATTGTTACAGTTATATGGTAGGTAATTCCAATGGCTTGATCTCATTACATAGCTTATCAAATGTCAGTTATCACCTTTTTTTTTTTAATGGTATATTGTATCTTATTACTGTATCATCAATCATTCTTCTCGTTCGTTTTCTTTTCTAAGCAGAGAAATTTTCTGCTTAGTCTTCAAATTATAATTTAATGACATTCATGCCAAAAAGTAATGACGAAATATTTCTCGAAATACAGTGCGTTGATAGAATTAAATCAAAATAATGCAACAATAAAATTGTACGATCATTTATAAAACTGCCACGGTGTGATAGTTGAATAAATAATTATTCTTACGCGGGAAAGTGTCGAATCGTCAAGCTTCCAGCCGGTGTTACTTTCTCGCTGCTCGAACAATTTGAACAATTTCCGATCGAAGAAACGAAACAAATTACAAGGATTGTTTATCGCGCGGATCTCGACGTCGTCTCTCGCAATTAGGGATCTCCGGCGAGATTCTTGCGTTCTTTCTTGTCCTCGCGTCGCGTTCCTTCGTAATCATGTTCGGAGTATAAGTTCCACGTCGTTTGCCTTTAAACGTGGACGATCGCTCTTAATGGAATCGTTTCGATTCCCGATCCCCCCGGTCCCTGTTTTCTGTTAATCGACCAGAGTCACTAGTCGACCTAACCTAAACCTTGTGATTTTCACACTTCTTCCCGGGTAAATAACCCGGTCCAAATGGCGCGCACCGTCGCACAATAAACGATCGTGGTCTCGCTATCGATAAGATGGTCCACCAAGTCGTAAATCGTCCCACTATTGAATCGTAAAACCTTACGTATGAAGCGTGTGAATCATGCGGCGATTGCACGATCCATCGATGCCGTTAACACGTTCGAGACGGAGCCAAACGTGTATTTTTACATAAATTATAGTTTTTTTACATGTATTTTTTATATTAATAAAAATCAAGTGTATTTATCACGCGATACGCGTCCACTGAAGTGTGGAACGACACCGACTAAACATTGTGAGTGTCGGTCCCGCGGGGCTGACGCCGACTGAACGAATAATGGATCGTCGGTCCGTGGGGACTGACGCCGTCTCGAACGTGTTAAGACGTATTCGTACGCAATTAAAAACTGGTGACCATGTTGATGACAAGGCGCGCGAGAAGAATCGAGTTCGCCATCCACGATGATGGAAAAGATACTTTGTCCTCTCATGTGGGTTGTAATAACCTACGCGGCGACTTGATCGCGCGTGCTATCTCACGAACGTACCGTTGCTCGCGGGAATTACTCGAACAGTTGCGAAAACATTTTATGAATACATAATATTGGGTGTCTTGTGCCGGAACACGTTGAAATTGCGTTAAAGATCGTGTTAATTCTGATAAAGTTTGAATTTCACACAGTACGGGTGTAGAAAGTACGCTGAGATGAATTTCAAACG